ATATATATATATATATATATATATATATATATATATATATATATATACATATAAAATTAACAGGAAGACCCCACTCCTCCCTCCTCCCACTCAAATAAGGTGTTGATGCATGTTGTTATATAGTGCGTTTGAAATGGGGAGGTGAGGCGGCGACCGGCACAGACCCACCCCCTCTCCAGAGAGCAGGCAGTGCCTGTTCACCTCCCCAACCCTTGCCCAGAACCCTAAATGTCTACATGCTGCATATGAGAGTGGGCACAGGTCCCGGAGGTGATAATGATTACACATCCCACCACCTATATGCCAACGTGTGCCCACTCCAGACCCTATATATACATGTGTCGTGAGAATGTTATAAGTGAGTGTCTAGGTTGTATAATAAAATTGGGGCCCAGGTCTCCACAAACCATGGAGATGGAGAATCTTCCCCTCAGCTCAGTAGTGCACCTGAACCCCAAGGCCCTGTTTGAGTGGTGGTGTGATGGAGTGGACGGAGGAAGATGTCAGGATGGGGAGGAAGAACTGAGGTGGCAATGCCCTCCCAGGAGGCCAGCTCCCCCACTGACCCCAATAGGCACTCTCATTCTCCGAGATCTACCAGGGGAGGGAGGCTCTAATACATCCATCTAGGAGCAGGTGGCAGCCGCACCTCTAGGGACTCAGGCCACAGACCGACACATAGCCTGGAGGACTGACCAGAACCGGGGCCAGCGACCCAACCCTCTCGAAACCGTCCAGACTCCCCAACCCGATCCCATCTCAACACCCAGCCCCCCGACCAAAGAAGCCACCAAATTACGACAATCAGCCAGGAGTGCCCGAACAGCCACATATAGTGCACCTCGGCGACCGAGAGTGCACCCCCATGCCTACAAAGGAACTGACCAGTCCACTACAGCAACACCCACAATGAGAGTATCCCACGCAAGGGAGGCCACACACCTATCAGGCCCAAACACCCCTGGGACAACAGTGCAGAGCCACTTGAGCGAGACCCCCCCCAAAAACCCCCCCCCCCCCCCCCCACCGCCCCCCACAGCCCAGACCCCCAGCCAAGCGCCAGGCCGCGGCCACAGCCAGGCAAGAAGACACCCAGGCTGAATACACCCGTCCCCTCCTGTGGCCCACCCTCCCCCCACCAACAGTATCAGCCCCCAACAATAGAGGCCCCAAAGCCAACCAATGCACCAAGGGCCCCCAGGCCAGGGCTGGGGGCCAGTGCATGCAACGGCCCAAGACCCCGACAACATACCACCAAGACCTGAGACCCCCAGGCCAAGCCGGGACCCCAGCCCGGGAGCGACACTCCCCCAGAACCCCGAGCCCGCACCCACCCCAAACCCACCCAGAAGCAGCCAGACCAGTAACCTGTGTCCACTGGTACAGACTGCGCAAAAGCCTGCATGCAGCCAGCAGAGGTCAACGCCCAGAACCACCAAAGCCACCTCCCCAGTCGAGAACCATTGCTCCGGGCCCATGACCCCCCCCATGCCCCCAGCCCTGATACCCCCCCACATCAACAACGATGCCCCACGTGACAAAATCAAAGGGGTTCACCCACCTACACTACGTGTTGGAGCCGATCAAAGAAGCCCAGAGAGAATGGTCGGATGTGGAGGTACAGGCTATCTCAAGACTGATGTAATCCAACAAAAGGTCTTTAAAGTGTTTAATACTAAGAGTATTTTTATTTTTCTAGTTCATGAGTATAGTTTGGTTTTTGCTATACATAAGGCAGTAAAAATCATGTGAATTGACTTTGTCTCCAAGGTGACATCATCTAAGTGACCCAATAAGCAAACTGACGGAGAGAGTGGAATATTACATCTCAGACATTTTGATAAGTCTTCACAAAACCTCTGAACAGGTGGACAGAACCAAAATGCGTGGATGTAATTGTCAGGAATATTGTTTGTACACTGTGAGCAAACATTAGATGATGCGAAACCCATCCTGAACATCTGTTGACCTGTGTAGTGTACTCTATGAAGGATTTTGTATTGTATTAATTGTAAATTGGAGGTTTTATCATCTTAAAAGTTTTTAGACATACTTTGTATCTGAGACCAGAAGTTTTGATCAAAGTTGACTGACAAGTCTGTCTCCCATTTTACAATGGGAAGGGATATTGATTATCTATTTTAATGAGTGTCCGATAAACCTTAGATAGTAATTTGGGAGGGTTAAGATTTAGGAATTCTAATACACTTGTTGGTATTTCAATTCTAGTGTTATTAAGGTTAAATTTATTTTTTGTTACAGATTTAATTTGTTGATATTCTAAAAATTTATTCTTATCAATCCCATATTGTGTTATTAAGCTGTTAAATGTGATATAGCCTACTTCCTCATATATATGTTCTAAATATTCTATTCCTTTACACCTCCAACCTGGGAAGTTTATCATCTTATTCTGTTGTAGGATGTCAGGGTTGTTCCAGATGGGTGTACGTTTACATGGAATTAGTGAAGACTCTGTCATTTTAAGAAACTCCCACCAAGCTGTCAGAGAGGAGCTGATATTGATGCTTTTAAAGCATTCCTGTCGTTTTATGTTTGAGCTAATGAATGGAAGGTCCGAGATCATTATATTATTGCAAAGTGTCTGTTCTACGTCTAGCCAGGGTTCATCAAGGGGTGTGTGTTTTATCCATCTTGAGATGTATTCTAGCCTGTTGACTAGAAAGTAATAATAAAAGTTGGGTAGCTCTAGTCCTCCTTTATCTTTGGTCTTCTGTAGTGTTTTTAGTTTAATACGTGGGGGTTTATCTTTCCAGATAAATTTAGAGATGGAGGAGTCCAGGGATCGAAACCAGTCAAATGATGGTTTATTTGGAATCATTGAGAATAGATAGTTTATTCTAGGCAAAACCATCATTTTTATTCCTTCCGATGAGAGATATGGGTAGAGATTTCTATCTAGCAAGATCATCCTCAATTTTCTTTAAAAGTGGGATGTGGTTTAGTTTTTGTTAAATCTGTCAGTCTAGGAGAGACTTTGATACCCAAGTACGTAATATTATATATAATATATATAATATAATAGTTGTGTAGTAAGTGAATTGTTGAAATAGCAATTAATTGGTAGAACTGTGGATTTTATCCAGTTTATAGAGTAATCTGAAAATCATCAGCATATAGACTGATTTTGTGCTTTATGTTCTTGCATTTTAATCCTTTAATATCTGTAGTTTGCCTGATTGCTGCGGCTAGTGGTTCGATGAAAATAGCAAACAGTGAGGGGGAGAGTGGACATCCCTGCCTGGTGCCCCTTTGTAGACAAAAGCTAGAAGATATTTGATTATTTGTCCTAATGCATGCTGATGGGGAACTGTATAATATTTTTAACCAGTTTATGAAATAATTTCCAAAACCAAATTTATGCAAGGATGCAAATAAAAAATTCCAGTTAACTCTATCAAAAGCTTTTTTTCTGCATCTAGAGAGAATATTGCAGTTTCAATGTTTTTACTGTAAAAATAATCTATTAAATTAAATAATCTGCACGGGTGAATGCCTCCCTTTTATAAAACCAGTTTGGTCAGGATGTATTATGAGAGGAGTTATCTTTTCCAATCTTTTTTGAGAGGGCTTTACAAATTATTTTAAGATCAACATTGATAAGTGATACGGAACAATAACTGTTAGGTAAAACAGGGTCTTTGCCTGGTTTTAACAGGAGACTAATGTTGGCTGAGTTTATATTTTCTGGAAGTCTGTTATTTTTTCATTGACAGATTCTTAAAAGCAGCCCACTTCATCCCTCTGCCCAAGCTACATTATGCCCTCAGAATTGCTCGACTTCTTGTTCAACACGTCTTCAGGATCCACGGTATTACCTCCAACATGGTTTCGGATCGAGGTCCCCAATTTATTTCCCCAGTTTTGGGCTGTTTTTGTAACACACTAGGGGCATCCACCAGTCTTACCTCAGGGTACCAGTCCCAGTCCAATGGCAAGGCAGAGCATTACAGCCAGGAGCTTGAGACTACCCTCTGGTGCATCATTGAACAAAACCCCTCGACCTGGAATTAACACTTGGTCTGAGTGGAATAGGCCCACAGCACTCACAAATATGCAGCCACAGGTATGTCCCCTTTCGAGGGCTCTCTTGGCTACATACCTCCCCATTTCCCAGCCAGGAGACCGACATCATGGTAACCGTAGTTCAGCACCACTTTCGCCGATGTTGACGTGTCTGGCGCCAAGGCAGTCCTACTACGCACGGCAGCTCAAAACAAGAGGTTTGCCGATGGTCACTGCTCATCTGCACCATCTTACCAAGTGGATCAAAAAGTGTGGCTCTCAACCAGGGGCATCCACCTGAAAGACACCCCCAGGAAGATGGCTCTCCAGTTTATCGGACCCTTCCCCATCATCAAAATCATCAATCCATCTGTAGTACGACTTCAGCTCCCAGGTTCCTTTAAGATTCATCCCATGTTCCACGTCTCACAGATCAAGCCCATCTCTGAAAGCCCGTTGCACCCTCCATCTGAACTCCCTCCACCTGATCTCCCTCCACCTGCCCAGTTGATCAAAAACCATCCAGCCTTTACTGTCAGGACCATCCTGGATGTGCGATGCCGAGGACGAGGATACCAGTACTTAGTCAACTGGGAGGGTTATGGATCTGAAGAGAGGTCATGGATCCCTCGTTCCTTCATCCTGGACCCAAGTCTTACTGCCTTCTTCAATGCTCACCCCGAGAAATGTCTCAGGTTGCTTGGGGGGGGGTGATTCTTTTTTCTTTTTTGGGGGGGGGGGTACTGTAAGTGTACCACTGGATGCAGCCTGCAGCTCCTCTCTCCTAGATGGCCACTTATTACCACCAGCTATCGATCATCTGCCTGACGAGATCCAGCTCTACTTCAGGTTGCAGCCAAGTGCTACTCTTCGCTGGATCATTAATTCTGTTCATGGTATATATGTCTCTGGCCAGTAAATATTGTTACCAAATGAAATAGTTACCTTGTTTTGTGTCTACAGTCATCCTGCCTCCTTGGGTCCCACCCAGTCCTGGTTCTGGCTTGATCCTGTTCCTTGTTCCTTAACCTCCAGCCACTTGCCTGCCTTGCCCGTCCTGTCTGGTCTGACATCTCTGGAGCCCTCCTTGGATTCACACCTGTGCCTTGCAGTAAAATCCAAACCTGTAAGGAGAAACAAACAAATCAATATCAATGACTGGTTCCTCTTCCAAACCCACCTGACCTTGTTCTTCCTCCTCAGTGGCTCCAGACAATCCACTGTATATATAATCACTGTAAATAATAAACATTGTTCACATTTCTAATAATCAATTTCAACTTTCAATTTCTAACCTGAGTCGTGTCTCATTCTTGGCCTCGTAACAATCCGGCTTCTTCAAATCATAACACATTTAAAAATATGTGATAACAATAGTGGCATTGTGAAACTAAACATTTGGCTCTATGTGATAAAAATACTGTTATTGTTTTTTTATCTCTACATAAATATTTTCAGATTTTAAAAGTTAATTGCTCATTGTGTCTTGGTCTACTTCTCTCCAGAGCATACTTTTATCCCCACCTCTTCAGATTCTCTTCCACCTGCTCCATACTCTCACTACAAATCACAAGAATGTTTGCAAACGTAGCAAACAGGGACTTTTACACAACTTCTTCTGGGATCAACTCCGAGCAGGTGAAAGATAGCCTGGAGAAGTTGAGGCATCCTTTAGGGCATACTTTTTCATCCCTGGCTCTCATTGAGGTGGCTGCTTCTGTCATTCCTCCCCTGTTTTTCCTTCCTCCTGCTCTGCTCTCTGTGTGTCTGAAGTGCTTGGTTCACATCTCCCGAACATAAATTAAGAAGATTATGGATTTGGTATCGTGGGCGTTCAACTCTATTGATAAAAATTTTTTCATCAAAGCGTCATGGTCCTGGAGAACCAGCGTGTCCAGCTGAGACTCATGCTGTGGGGTACATCATGGATCCGTGGGGAGTGTGGCAGCTGATGTGCCTCTCAGTTCTGTCTCAGGAGGATGTTGAAGATGTTTACATATTTGGAATTATGATAGCAGGGACTCTGCAATTTGCCATTGGTGGGGCTCTGTTTTATCGACTTTTGAAGAAGACATCAGCAACCGTTTCGGCCATGGAAAAGCTTTCAAGTCAGTGTGAAGGTTTGGTCCGTGCAGTAGGAACTTTAAATCATCTGGTTTATGAGCTAAACCGTAAGGTGGAGGCAATTTATGAGAATCGCAGGCCACCTGCGGCTTCTGGGACTTGTCATCATGGTGGGTTCAACCTTGAAGGAAACTCATAGCATGGATCAATAGAATGGAATCCCACAATTGGGCATTTTCAGAACCAGAATGCCCAGATGGACTCAAGGCTGGAGAAAAGTAATATGTCTACCTGAAGAAAAACAAGAATCAAGCTTATCTGAATCTGACTCCCGACGGCCTTGGAGATAGGCCGACTATCAAATTTCTCCTGGAACATGGGTAACCAAGGACAAAAGCTTCATCTATCGCGGACAAATCTCAACACCTTGATGTCAAATGCAAATGTAATCATGTTTTATTTGTGCTGCTGGTAGTTTTTTGAGGTCTCAAATTGTGTCCTGATAGACAAGGTGTGAAAGATCTTTTTTTGTAATACCACTATCTACCCTCATGTTTCTCCCCCTTTTCCTATCTAAGATTATTATTCTGAAAAAGGATAAGATAAGGCCGCGCTTTCTATAGTTGCAGCTTCATGCACTCTGCCCATCTTTCGGACGACTGTGCATACATATCCGCGTTGTATCTCGGTGCAATGCCAATAAAGTTTATTTTGATTCTGATATGTGTCAAACTCAAAACCTGGGGGCCAAATGTGGCCCTCGTTGACATATTATCTGGTCCCCAAGATGATATGTGAAACGTAAAATAATTCTATCTCTTGAATTTTTTCAGTAATATTGGATTATGATGTTGAAAGCACAACAGAGAACATCAAATGAGACCAATCAAACTCTTTTTCAGGAAGCTGTGACCAAGAAAAGATGCTGGGTATCCGAATGGAGTTAATGTAGATTCTGAAATTGGCCCTTAGTTTGAAAAAGGTTTTAATTTTGGCCCCCTTTTGTAAGTGAGTTTGACACCCCTGATCTAGGGGGAAAAGGGAATGAATGACAAAATATGTGTGAATGAACAGGTGACAGGTGGAACGGTGAAGCTGCAAGTAATATTTCAGTGATTTTTGTATTTATTATACTATACTGTAAATTTGCTCCCTTTTTGTTGTTGTTGGGTTCTTCAACTGTAAGCCCAATGTCTGAAGCTTGGCCCATACAGCAGGAAAAGTAAGCAACAATCTAAATGACCAGTGTTGTGCTTGTCTTGTCCAACAGAATCATGGATGTAAACCAGAGTCTTTTCATTTCCTTGGAATCAGTCTCGGAGCACATGTTGCTGGGTTTGTGGGGACTCTGTTTGAAGGAAAGATTGGAAGAATCACAGGTAAGTGTGAACCATGATAACATCACAACTGAATAAAGTGATACATCAAACCTGCTACATTTTAGCTCCTCGTGTTACATACGCCACAAAACTTGACTTATTGTCAGGTGTAGAGCTGTTAGAAAATTTCCCTCACAAGTCAGACAATGACAGTTTCACTGTCTCGGTGTGATGATGAAAAGAAATTCCAAGTTTTTTTTATTTGAGATGATCTGAGGCAATATGGAGAAGCTCAGTGTCCTGATCCATAAGACGACGCACCCACAATGCATCTCTGTTCACCAGTTTATATTATCTGCGGTGGAAGTGGTCTCCAGCTACAAGTACTTGGGTGTACACATGAATGACAACCTCAGCTGGAGCAACAACACCACCAGCCTGATCAAGAAAGCTCATCAGAGACTCTACTTCCTCAGACGGCTGAGGCGAGCTGGTCTGGGAAGCTCAGTCCTCACCTCCTTCTACAGGTGTGCAGTGGAGAGCATCCTGTGCTCGAGCATCAATGTGTGGCATGGACGCTGCACAGCTGCAGAAAGAAAAGCTTTGCAGAGAGTGGTGAAGGCTGCACAGAAATCTGTTGGAATCAGTCTCCCCACCATCACAGACATCTACACCTCCAGATGCAGGAAGAGGGCCACCTGCATCATGAAGGACCCCACCCACCCAGCACACACACTTTTTGCCCCACTCCCCTCAGGAAGGAGGTTAAGGAGCATTAAGTGTAGAACCACTAGACTGAGGAACAGCTTCTACCCTGAGGCTGTTAGACTCATGAACCTCTAACTAGAATAATCACTGTGAAAAACCATATCATGTTGCTGCTGATCTGTTTCATGTTGCTGCTGATCTGTTTCATGTTGCTGCTGATCTGTTTCAATGTTGATGTGTTCATGCGTGCACATCTGCTCACAGACTCATGTTCATGTTTGTGGTGATGTTCAATGTTTTATGTTATGAGTGCTTAGTGTATATTTAGTTGATGTTTTTCTTAGTTCATATCTTAGATGTTATTACTGTTTTTATTATACATTTTATTGTTGGATGTAACTGGGACCCTGTGTACATAATTTCGCTCCACCACATGTACCACATGAGGTGCGAATGACAATAAAGAAACTCTGACTCTGACTCTGACTCTGACTATATATACTAAGACCTGGACTGTGGAGTGACGACTAATGTTCATTAGAGAGGCCTCATAAACATCAACCTGTTAGAATTTAAGAAATAAAATGAAAAAATAAATCAATAAAATTTGTGATTTTTTTTCAAACTGACCTCTTGAAACCCTGAAATGTTTGAGAAGTTTTTCATTGCGTGCATTTCTGATTTTCCTCCTACTGTTTTATACAGGTTAGGTAGTTTTGGAGACAAACTGTTTTTGGCAGGATGCATGCAGCAACACAACTACTGTACATTGATTGTTCCACTTGGTTGTGTAAAATTTGTTATTTTAGCCTGATGTATTACTAAAAAAACAAATGGATATTCTTCTTCCAAACAATCTGGGAGAAGCCAGGGTCAAAACCATTGGCTCTCAGACAGGGGCGCAACTACATATTTTTGAGGTGGATGCGAACACATCATCGGCGCCCCCCCCACCCGCTCCTTTTTACTTGCCGCCTCATACAGCTTAGTCATGCACTTAGAAAATACAGTAGTAATATTACAGATTTTTTTAATGTTACATATTATATCAGGTGATCATTTCAATCATAAACAAATAGGAAGTTTTATAAAGTACAAATATATAACAGTAGTGGTACTCAGTCAGTGCTCAACATTTTATGTAGCGGAAATATGACATCTTAACAGCCTGGAGTCCATGTCAGAGTTTTAACATTTATGACATTTAAACTGTTACATTCCGTGACTTTGCATTTGCCCATTTGTCAAGTATAACATCAAATGAAATAGACCGTGCCACACTGTTTTCAATAGAGATCACTGCTAACTGGGACAAGCGATCATTGCTCATATTTGAACGAAGGTATGTTTTGATGAGCTTCAGCTTGCTAAATGATCTCTCTGCAGATGCAACTGTCAGAGGCATGGTTAAAAATACTCTAAGGGCTACTGTCAAATTTGGAAATACCAAATCAAGGTCCTCTTGAATTAGGAAATTTAACTTTTCTAGAGCCTTGTAACCCTTCAGTAGACGGCTTGCTGGGTATATTTCTTGAATGATATCTCTTGAAACATCACAAGTGGTCAGGGCATATGTGGTCACTGATTCCTCCAGCTCAGCTTTTGTCATGTGCTCCATTTTAGTGATGAATTTAAATTTCTCAGACACAAGTTGAAAATTGGAAAACCTCTCAGACAGCTCTTGGAGGAGTGTGTCAACAATAACATTGAAAACCATGCACCTGAAGTGCCTTGTGGGTTCCTTTTCATGATGACCAGTGCATGAATTGTCATCTGGGAAATTCTTTTGCTTCCTAAGTCGTTTCTCTTTGAACTTAGGAGAAGCATCCATTTCGATGGCTATTTTGCTTGCAATGTCAAGTGACTTCTGAAAGCCCTCTTCTCTATATTTGAAGATAAAACTGCTTCAGCTGAATTTTTACTTTAAAAAAAAAAAAACGCGCCGAGTGCGTTCTCTTAGGGGCGTGTTCACAGCCACCTGTGTGGGAAGGGAGAGCGATAGGAGGGGAGGTGAAGCAGCAGAGGGGAGGTGAAGGAGCAGAGGGGAGGTGAAGGAGCAGAGGGGAGGTGAAGGAGCAGAGGGGAGGTGAAGGAGCAGAGGGGCGCCTAATCAGTGCTGTTCCCCTGTTATTGATCATTTAGAAAATGCCTACTAGAAAAACATTTTTTCTACAGAGGGTTTTGACGCCCCCTGCAGTGCAGCGCCCCTATGCGTTGCATACGCTGCATACCCGCTTTTTGCGCCACTGCTCTCAGATAGGCAGTTGAAAGGTCTAACTCCTGAGACATTTTTTCTTTTTAAAATGGAGTTTTCTTTTTGTCTTGCAGGTCTTGATCCAGCTGGGCCCATGTTTAAAAACGCTGACACTTACGACCGCCTGGACCCCTCTGATGCTCAGTTTGTGGATGCCATCCATACAGACTCTGACTGTAATATAACTATTTTGTTATTGTCACAGGAGTTTGTTGTATTTAAAAAAACACAGTACAGTAGTACCTCGGTACTTCACGGTTCATTTTTCACAGGCTCGCTCTATCGCGTATTTTCAAAGTAAGATTGGACATGACACACAATTGGCTGATTGATGGATGAGCCGCAAAATCGGCATGGATTTTTTAATTTAAAATAAATTATTCAAAATGATTTAAATGGTAATGGTAAATGGACTGTACTTATATAGCACATATCTATCTTATTTCAAGATACTCAAAGCTCTTTACACTACAAACTGTGTTTCATTGACCCATTCATACAGCTCTCTACTAGATCTCTACAAAGCTAAATGAACAAATCATTCTGAAGAAATTATTCAGCGCTTTAGATCTCATTCATACACTGATGGGACACACATCAGAGGCAACGAGTGGTTCAGTGTCTTGCCCAGGGACTATTCAGCATGTGACTGCTGGTGGATTCGAACACCCAACTCTTGCATTGGAGGACGACTGCTCTGACCACTCAGCCACAGCCACCCTGTAGCACCTGTGTTCAGCACACAGCTGTGGGAGAAGCTTCCTCCTGCAATTGATCAGCTGATCTCCAAGCAGAGCGGAGACGTGGGCATGGCCGAGAGTGCAGCCAGAGGCAAAGAGCTGAAATCATGACATTTGTTAGGATTTGCTAGGAAGGAGCGAACCCAGAGTGCAGACAGGGACTCAACTCGGCAGAATACAAAAATAGGAATTTAATGGTAAAATAAAGATACAAAGTAACAGGCTGACGGGGCAGCAAAACTTACATGAACAGGGAGATAAGGCACGGGAAACTCAGGAGGACTCAGGAGACACGGAAGACTCAGGGAACTCGGAAGACTCAGGGGGAACACAGGAGACCCAACGAGTATGACGCGACAACGAACAAGACTGAACAGACGGCTTATATTAAGGGACAAGACGAGATTACGAACAGCTGGGACGAGACAAGGGTGGCACTAATGGAACTAACGAGGGAGCATGAGGGAACACAGACACAAACCGGGCCACCAAATGGTACCATCCTTACAGTACCCCCCCTCAAGGACGCCCCGAGGCGTCCCCAAAAAACCCCCCTCCCGAAGGACTTGGGCGGGTGGAGGGCGGCACTGCAAGGGTGGAGGGCCCGAGGAAAACACAAAGAAGAAACTAAAGACCTGAGAAAAAACTATGACAAACCACAAGGAGGGAACACAAAGGATTTGGACGGTCAAGGGACCGTCCCTAGGAGTCTTTGTTCTGGCGGACGGCCAGGAGGCTGTCCATCAAACCAGGCCAGGTCAGGGGGGCGGCCGGGAGACCGTCCAATACATAGGACCAGAGAGACCGCGGCAGGCGGCGATGAGGACTTGGAGAACGCAGCATGGGTCAAGGAGTCCTGGGAGGCTGCAACATACGACAGAGAGGCCTGGGGAGCTACAGCAGACGACGGAGAGGCCTGGGGAGCTGCAGCAGACGACGGAGAGGCCTGGGGAGCTGCAGCAGACGACGGAGAGGCCTGGAGCTCTGCAGCAGATGGCGGAGAGGCCTGGAGCTCTGCAGCAGACGGCGGAGGGGCCTGGAGCTCTGCAGCAGATGGCGGAGAGGCCTGGAGCTCTGCAGCAGACGGCAGAGAGGCCTGGAGCTCTGCAACAGATGGCGGAGAGGCCTGGAGCTCTGCAGCAGAAACGGGAACGAAGTCTTCTGCGGCAGGAACAGGAACAGAATCTTCTGCGGCAGGAACGGAGTCTTCTGCAGCAGGAACGGAAACAGGAACAGAATCTTCTGTGGCAGGAACGGAGTCTTCTGTGGCAGGAACGGAAACAGGAACAGAATCTTCTGCGGCAGGAACGGAGTCTTCTGCGGTAGGAACGGAAACAGGAACAGAATCTTCTGCGGCAGGAACGGAGTCTTCTGCAGCAGGAACGGAGTCTTCTGCGGTAGGAACGGAAACAGGAACAGAATCTTCTGCGGCAGGAACGGAGTCTTCTGCGGCAGGAACAGGAACTTCTGCGGCAGGAACAGGAACTTCTGTGGTAGGAACGGAGTCCTCTGCGGCAGGAACGGAAACAGGAACGGAATCCTCTGGCGGCGGCGGCAGGAACGGAGCCCTCTGTGGCGGCGGCGGCAGGAACGGAGCCCTCTGTGGCGGCGGCGGCAGGAACAGAGCCCTCTGCGGCAGCAGGAACGGAGCCCTCTGCGGTGGCGGCGGCAGGAACGGAGCCCTTTGCGGTGGCGGCAGCAGGAACGGAGCCCTGTGCGGCGGCGGCAGCAGGAACGGAGCCCTCTGCGGCGGCGGCGGCGGCAGGAATGGTGCAGGAGAGCTGAGGAGAGTCTGCCAGAACCCCCTCGGAACAGGAGAGCTGAGGAGCATCGGCCGGAACCCCCTCGGAACAGGAAAGCTGAAGAGCATCTGCCGGAACCCCCTCGGAACAGGAGAGCTGAGGAGCGTCTGCCAGAACCCCCTCAGAACAGGAGAGCTGAGGAGCGTCTGCCGGGACCCCCTCAGAACAGGAGAGATGAGGAGCGTCTGCCGGGACCCCCTTGGAACAGGAGAGAGGAGGAGCATCTGCCGGGACCCCCTCGGAACAGGAGAGATGAGGAGCGTCTGTCGGGACCCCCTCGGAACAGGAGAGATGAGGAGCGTCTGCCGGGACCCCCTCGGAACAGGAGAGATGAGGAGCGTCTGCCGGGACCCCCTCGGAACAGGAGAGGTGAGGAGCGTCTGCCGGGACCCCCTCGGAACAGGAGAGGTGAGGATCCACCTCAGGGACTGTGTGTAGCGTGGAATCCACCTCTGGAGCTGCGTGCAACGTGGAATCCACCTCAGGGGCTGCGTGCAGCGTGGAATCCACCTCAGGGATGGCAGTGACAGGGGTTTTAAAATTTCCTATCTTAGATAGTAAAAAATTATACTCGAGCAGCCAAGAAAGACCAGGAATAGAAAATAAAAAATCCTCCATCTGGGACAAAACAATATCGAAGGAAGACGGGTTAGCTTTAGCTGAATGAAATAACTCTAATAAGGTTTGATTAATTTGAAAAATCTCTTCAGGTGAAAATGAATGAAAAAAGGGAATGTCTCTATGTGGGGGTGTGGTGACGGGTGCCGCCCCCACCGGAAACCTGGAAGGTGAGGCGGCGGAACACGCCCCCACGGAGTCACTGGGAATACGCTCCGGAGGTACGGTCAGGCTGGGTCAGACAGCCGCGGCGCAGAGTGGCGGTGAGAGGCCGGATTCCACCCCCACCAGGAACCTGGAAGGTGAGGCGACAGAACCCGCCCCCGTGGCGTCAAGTGGACCGGACTCACCGAACCGAACAGGAGTGGAACGGAGCTCCCGCGGGACGCTGGATCTCGCCCCCACCGGAAACCTGGGAGGTGAGGTGGCGGATCCCGCTCCTACAGAAACAACGGAACCAGCTCTAAAATTCTGCTCAGCCGACGAGACCAGGCCGGTCGCCGCAGACTGCCTCCAGAACCGTCTTCTGCCACTACGGCGGAAGTGGGACGGCAGAAGGACAGGGACGGAGTGGAGCTCGTCCATCTTAGCTCGCGGAGGGGAAAAGAAAAAAGGTGAGTTTGCCAATAGAGACCCTGCCCGCTGGGTTCTGGTCTGGTCGCGTCGTAATGTTAGGATTTGCTAGGAAGGAGCGAACCCAGAGTGCAGACAGGGACTCAACTCAGCAGAATACAAAAATAGGAATTTAATGGTAAAATAAAGATACAAAGTAACAGGCTGACGGGGCAGCAAAACTTACATGAACAGGGAGATAAGGCACGGGAAACTCAGGAGGACTCAGGAGACATGGAAGACTCAGGGAACTCGGAAGACTCAGGGGGAACACAGGAGACCCAACGAGTACGACACGACAACGAACAAGACTGAACAGACGGCTTATATACAGGGACAAGACGAGACGTGATTACGAACAGCTGGGACGAGACAAGGGTGGCACTAATGGAACTAACGAGGGAGCACGAGGAAACACAGACACAAACCGGGCCACCAAATGGTACCATCCTTACAACATTCTGTGCTCTTCTAGAGCATTTAGAGTTTAGAAACATTGTTTAGAATATTTCAAGAGTGTGGGAAGGGTTTAAGACACCTTTATATGAACATATATTACATATATATATATATATATATATTCCGAGACCGATCTTCTCTCCTTCCTAACGTTGCACGTTCGTGGTGAGTCGTATTCTATCACGTCCTGTAGCTCGAGTAATTTGTTTGCTCGAGTCGTCTTTTGGTTTCTGGATTTATCTGTTATTTGCACAGTTTTTCATTTTAGATCACAAACACCCTCAGTGCAGCTGTTTTTCTACTCTTAGATAGCGCTTGAAACACCTTGTATCTTTCAACACTTCTCAGTTTTTATTGGTGTATTTGGCTCTGCTAGCTCTTGCTAGCATTGGCTTAGCATGGCTGCTGCTTCTCTCCCTGCTTCCTCTGTTTTCTCTTGCTCCATGTGTCGGATGTTTAGCTACTCCTCTGCCTCCTTTAGTGGTAATGATACATGTAACAAATGTAGTCTTGTGGTAGCTTTGAAGGAGAGGCTGTCTGAACTGGAAGCTCGGCTCCGCGCTGTAGAAAAACTAGTAGCTAGCCAGGTCCACTTGGACAGCGTGGAACCACAGAGGCTAGCTCCCATTAGCGGTCCTCCAGCAGACCCCGAGCAGCCGGGACCCCAGGCCGACTGGGTGACGGTCCGGAGTAAGCATAGTGCTAAGACTAAGCCCCAGTTCACCACAGGGGCCCAGAGCGAGTGACATTGAATCTTATTTGAAACTTATGTTACGCCAATCAGAGGTCACTAAAATTAACGTTGCTTTGGTGTGTGACTTTGCTAAAACCATGTCGGACTCTGTAGTTTTTGCTGGCCCCCTTCCCAACCTGACCAGTGATGACATATTCAGCCGTATGTCGTCGTTTAACCGCTGGATGTCCAAGTGGTGTTCTGACAACGAC